GTTAATAATGATTACTAAGCAAATATTAATATGTTAATTTTTAGCCTGGGATTGATTGTGAGGTTTTTCTGGTTAATTTTTCTAATGAATTTGGTTTCTAAACAAGAGACCATTTCAAAAACTTAATTCATTTGCAATGATATTTGAAGCTAATTTAAATCAGGTCTTTAATGATTGTAAGTTATATAAATAAATATTAATTAGTTTATTTGATTAATGAAACACAAGTGTATGATTTTACTATTCTGCTAATATGTATTTATAAGCAGATTTGATTTTAAAAGTTAGAGGAAAAGGTCAGTTATGATTTTTTTCTTTTCATTAGCTTTATATTTAGCAGAAAATGTTAAAAGAGCTATAAATTGCCTATCCAAAGTGTTAGTTTTCTACTTACAGCAGTCAAAAAAGGTGGCCGAACTTGGTGTTAGTCAGACTGAATGGCTCTGTAGGGGAAAAAGTCTTGCTATAGATTTTGAGTAAGCAATAAGTAATATATATCTATATATTTGCTTTTTGAATGTCACTGTTGCACTTTCAGGCATATGCAGGCTTAATGGTCTGTCTGTCTGTTTTACTTTCTCCTGGAATGACAGTTTAACAGTTTTCCTTGTTGGATTATATTAAAATCTTTAAATGCTATATTAACTAAAACATATTTCCAATGTTTAGACAGCCAAAATCTGTGCAATCTTTTTAATGGAGTATAACTTAGCAACTCTGCTATTATCACAGATATCTTATTGTTAGAGCTACATTAAAATATCCCCAACTTTGAGTTTCGTTCATATTTAAATTGTTCTGGGATGTGCTGACCCATACTTTTGCACTATTTTAAAGTGGATTTTTCCAAGAAAGCAATAGTTTCGTAAGTTAAACAAGAACTTGCTTAATATAGTTTAATTATTTTAAGAGATTTTAAACTAAGTTTCTTGAATGTCTACCATATTTTGAGCATTATGCTAGATATCTTGCCTGGATAACTTGAAGTTACGGCTATTAGTAATGGCATCTAGGTAGAAGATGAACAGTGGGAAACAGTCGTGAAGTGGCCCAACCAGGAACCAAAGTATCTTTAGGGTTTTATCAGAACAGGTATTGTGATCTGTCTCTTCTTGGCGAAATCGAGATTTTGATAGCTCCTCTTGTGATAGTATTCTGTTGTTGCCCTGGAGAAGGGAGTGACTAACTGAAATAGTGAGAAAGAATGAGATTCCTTGGGACAAATGCAGGGCAGACCAGTACTGACTGACTTAGCAGCCCACAGTCTGTTTCACTGCTTGCCTTTTAGAGTTGCTTTTTTAAGTTTTCTTGGCACTTTTTCTTGAAATACTCTAAGGAACAAAGACCTTTTATTTTGTGGTAGAGGACATGGAGAACAATTATTCACAGTCCAATCTTTTATTGGCACAGCTTTCCCTGGTACTTCTGTCCCTTCTAACTTACTGGTGCTCTGTCTGCCCAAGGCCAGGGTCCTTGGAGCAGGTTTTAGTGGCATGAAGTTGAAGAAGCAGATACTGGAAAATCCAGGCTTATGTGATCTTTCCTGTCTTTGATAAGTTCAGCTTTCATATTGAAAAGTTGTTTAAACCTTTAAAATTTTTTCAAGTTGTGATATATATTTATCTCAAAAGTAAACTTGAAACTTTAAAATTAGTAAAATTAATTTTAACGTATTATATATATTTATATCTATACTGTAGTTATTATTTTTAAGAAAACTTAACAGCCATCTCCATTGAAAGGCACAATATTAATTTTTAAGTAAGTACATCAAAATGCTAAATTTGACTTAAAAAATTTCCTAGCAGTTATATATCATTGTGCCTCAGTGTATTAAAGTTAATTGCTTATTACAGTTGACAAAAATATATAGTTTAATAAAAATATCTTATTTAATCACAGAAAATAGAAAGACTAAAATTCTCTTTAAACTTGTAGATTTGTACAATCTCATTATAATATCCTCAAAGTGTTCATGATTTCCAAAATCGTAAGGGAGCCATCTTCAGAAATTTTAGTAAATTAAAGTTGTGAAGGATAAAAAGTATATACCAAGTTGAATTTATATTATACCTTATTAAATCATTGAACTGTATTCATAGACTCAACCTTTTAATGATATATGTTAATTATATTTGAGGGTGTGACTTTGAAATATCAGTGTTACTTTTAAATTTTGGCATTTTTTCAGAATTTTGATGTAATTTGTTTTCTATATTTTAATACTTTTCAGATATCAAAGTTGATTTTAAGAAGCAAAAATAAAACTTAGGTACTTTCTAAATTAAATGAAGTGATCAATGTAAAGCGTTGAACTCAAAACCTAGCATATAGCAATTCCTGTGACAATCAGTTTATGATTATGATCGTTATTTCTGACTCCTGTCTCCTTGCCACAGTCTCTCACGGGTTTGTATACCTGACAATTTCCATAAACTCACAGTATTATTACTTTTCATTTTGTCTACCTTCTAGCTCTTGATGTTTAAGAAATTTCTGGAATTACTTCTTTAACTGTCAGTACATAACTCTTGTTCAAGAACACACATGTTTACATAACACACACATATGTGTTAAAGAACTTCACTTTCTCTAATACCAATAGCTTATTTCCCATTTGTCTAGGATCCAAGAGCTTGTGGGTCAAGAGATGAGCTGGATATGATCCTGACCTGCAGCAGATCATAAAGACACTGGCATGGGAAGGCTGATTCCCTGTGTTTTAATGTGCTTATTTGCTGTGGGAGTTTGGGTTCTCTTGTATCTTAAACTAGTCCTATAATAATAAGAAAAACATTATATGTTTTTCTGAGGAAATTATGACTGCAATATAAAATATATTCAAATGCATTACTTTTATTTGTATTTATTTTAGACTTATTGAAAATACTTTTAGTAATATAAAAATATTTTTTATATAAAGTAAAAAAACAAAAGTCCCTTCCCTCCAATTCCTATACTGTCATTTTTTCAGGAGAAAGAAGTTTTGATAGTTTGGAATGAATCCTTCCAGACTATTTACACCTGTGGCTCAGTGTATATATGGTTTTGTTTTTTGTTTCCCCACTGTTGTTTTTCACAAAAATGAGATTGTATTGTCCTGTAATTTTCTCATTTTGTCATACATATGGGCATCATTTTATAACCTCAGTCTTCTCAGTCTTTTTCATGTCTGTGTAATACTTGACTATATTGATATATCTCAGTTTATTTAGCCCTCTCCTGTGGAAAGACACTCAGGATCTCTGGATTCCATCTGCTTGCACATCATGTTGTATGAACTCCGAGGTTGAAAGCTTTTGTCCTGGATACATCCGTGCGTAGTTTCCCAACTACACTGTGCAGGCTATCGGAAGCCTAGGTTGCTTATTGGCCTTCAGGGGTCATTCTGAAGGTTGTCATTTGATCTTGGATAGGCCTCAGCTCAGAGTACCAATTCTGTTGTATGGAGTTTTAAGGTATCAGCAGCAGTTTATGGAAGTTTCTCATTCTTTCCTCTTAAAAATTTAAGATGCATTGCGTAACTGGGGGGGAGGGGGTTAGCTGTTATATTTAAATACTATTATATTGACAGAGGTCTGGGCTTTTGAGCTATAAAGAAAATCTGTCCAATCATTTTTTAAAAATTAAGAATTCTTTAGATCATGGCATCTTTTGGAGAATTTTTTTGAGAATACATTTGTTTTCTTGCAATTGTGGAATATTTTTGTTTCTTTATATGTCTAACCAGGTGTATTAAAGTTTAATTTGTGATATTTCTGGTGGGGAGGCTGTTGATGGGGGGTGGAGGAATTGAGTGAAAAAGAAAAAAAAAGAACTCATGAAAAAAATTTAATTTGTGACCATCATAAATAGCATAATTAATCACAATTCTAAAAATTCAAACATCAATATTCCATGGTTAGCATTTCATTGGGGGTGGGGATGGTGTTCATAAAATTTTATGTTCTTCAGTCACTATTTATTTAATAGATATAGTAGTAATTTATTTTTGTTGTGACTACTGGCTATATCTTGGAGTTTAACATCTGCTGGTTTAAACTGCATATTTTTAAAATTCTCAACTCTAATTGCCTAGAATGAAGGAAAAGAATTGATTTATATGCATATTTTTGCTTGGGAGATTTTATTTCATATTTGTAAAATAGTAATGTAGAATTTAAGGAAGGCGATCCATTATTAGACATGTAGAGGAGGAATTACCACTTCTCTTTGATAATATGGTAATTGTTCAACATATTTTAAGTAATAACCAGCTGTTGACTTTAATATTTTTTACCTTTCAACAAAGTTGGTATTCTGCTATGATGTCATAGCTATACGTTTTGATTTATTATTGCACAGAGTATGTCATGCATATTCTGTGAACAACCACGCTGAGCCAGTATTGAGAATACATCTTTATTATTTGTGACATTTTCTACGTTAAAATGGAGTTGAGGTTCTTAACCAGATTTTAATGCACATGGTCAAAGAGGGTTGTAAACCTTTTACTTCTGCAGTGATTTCTTCTTTCTAGCTCTCCATGAAATTTTACTTTGCTACAGAGTTTACATGATATTTTTGTGTTTTTCTTCTCTCCAAAACAGTATTTCTTAAGGCTGTTTATATGCAAATATACCTCAAAAAGTGTTAAAAATACATTTATTCTTAACGTAATTTGAAGAATAAAAAAGATTGAGATATAAAAATTTGAAATACAGTAATTCAGTTTATAACAAGAATATTTTATAATGAAATGCATTTTTGATGACATACATAGAATTACAAATCTTATTTTTATTTTGTAGGATTATAAACTATATTGAAAATTCTTTAGCAGGGTAAAAATCAAATGACTTGTTGAAAGATTTGTGCTGTAACTTATTTGACATAGAATTGAATTACTAATTTTTTATTATTGAAATTAAATAATTTATTTTATTACTTAATCAAAACTGCAGTCATATACTTGAAAATATGTATTCTGTTCAACATTAGGTTTTCCTTTTCTTTTTCAGTCTGTGATCAAAACAGGGCGACTGCTAATCAGTCACGAAGCTCCCTTGACGGGCGGCTTTGCGTCGGAGATCAGCTCTACAGTTCAGGTACAGTAACTTCTTGGCATTGATTTTAACATTTGTGCAATTGCACATGTCTATTCCAAGAAAAAAATCACATGTCACAATATATAAAAATATGCACTTTTTGGAAGTGCACATTTTTCATTTGACTCTACCTCCCTGTCTTAGTAATGGTTTAATTACATCATCTAGAAAAGAAATCTTAAAATAATAAAAGCTGAAAATTCCTTTATAGGAAGAAGAAAGTTTCAAATGAGTTTAATAAACTAATGTCACTTATGTTTGCTAGGATATCAGAACTTTAAATTTGAATGTGACATTTCTTTCTTGATAAAACTTAAGCTTATTATGAAATGTGTTGTTATAAAATTGATTTTAGATTCTCCTGCCCTCACCTAACAAAAAATGCACCTCTCAAAATGTAATAATGTAAATTCAATAAATAATTTCAAAATAAATAATTTAATTTATTAAATTAGTAATTTTTTGTTATGTTATTGGTAATGCTTTAGAAATGGTTAAAAAATGTATTTCTCTTTTAAAAATGTTTAGTTAAAATGCTGCATATCAGGAAAACTTTCTAGCTACTTATGGAAATTTTTATTTAAAACTTTTATTTCCATTTGTATCATAGATATGAATAAGATGATTTAAATGAGTTTCATTTTTCCTCATTTTTAAAATTAAAAATTATATAACTATATTTTAAATGTAAAATATATGCCTTTTAAATTTAGAATATCTTTGCAGTTTAAGATGATTTAATGAGTTTCATTTTTCCTCATTTTTAAAATTAAAAATTATATAACTATATTTTAAATGTAAAATATATGCCTTTTAAATTTAGAATATCTTTGCAGTTTGCAAACATTTTACTTTACTTTATGGGTGTTAAGATGATTTTGTTGTTAATACATACAAATTGAGAATTTCTTTAAGAGTATATGGTTTACTAACTTGATTGTTAATAAGATTGTGATATATGAGAAATGATAAGTTTTTATTTTTAAACATTTAACTAGTAAATAATGATCTCTACCAATGAAATATCTTTAAGTTCTAATTGACAACACTCTAAATATTTTTAAATTAGATGAAGCAAAATTAAACATAAATTTTAAAGCCTGATCAAAATAATCCATAAGTACATTCAGAAACAAAATATGCTGTTATTTTTACATGTTATATAGATAGTAACAAACTTAAGAAAATTGAGTTTTATAGATTTGTTGTTTTCCTATTATTATATAAATTAAAATTTGAAACATACTGCTTATTATATAACACAAGTACCCCGTATTTATTGTGCATATTATTAATTGAGTAGCATACTGTTCTAACTTTGTAAAAAATGAAGATTGCAGGGATGAATTATTACAACATCAAGATGTTATTTCAAGTTAGAGACAAAACTGAAAAAAGAAACTGGGATTTTCTGATTCCTAGTTAACATGTGGTCCACTAATCCATTTGAAATGATAGTGACTGTTGCTCATAGAATCTTTATCTGACAGCTTCCTTTTATTTTGTTATCTGAATGCCATCTTATTCTTAGCTCAAAAAATTCATTTGCATTTGAATATAAAAGGAAAACAAGAGCACATGTACAACTCCTCCTGTGAAGTTACCTTTCTCTGTGCACTTCTTAAATTTGATCTCCATAAATTATTAGTAAGCTGCAATAGGATGAAATGTATTTTTTAAACTGGGAAGGAATTAAGAAGATTATGTCATTTAGTGTTTCTTTGTCTTGAATAATATGTGGACTTGTGTTGACAGAAAAATGTTTCTGAGGCCCCAAGAATACATGTATGAATTCCAGTTTGAGGAACACTGTATTGTGAATTAGACACAGTTAGTATGAAAAGCTAACACCAATAAGATCATAACACTGTATCAAGATCAGATCCTGAAATTATGTGATATTGATAGGTGCTAAAGGTTATGAAAGAGATTACCCAGAATGTAATTATATTTATACTAGAGGCCCGGTGCACAAATTCATGCATGGGGTGGGGGGCCCTGCTCCCTGGTTGAGCTCCCGTTGAACTCCCCGGTGGAGGGGACAATTTGCATATTAGCCTTCTATTATATAGGATCATAATATGAAGACAAAACAAAAAAAGACACTTTGTAATACTCTTACACTCCCGAGAATATGCCCTGAGATCCTCAGGTATCTGTTGTTTTAGAGTAATCCTGACAACCTAAGTCAACCATGTTCCTTTTATAGTTAAGTGTTTGTCATCCAGAGTGCTTGTGACTTACCTGGTTTAAAAGGACAGTGGAAGCTCTGGAAGTTGGACAGGAATATTTAGTAAATATTATGTGTATGCATGTGCATTCTTTATTCAAAGCCCCCACCTCCTAGGGCAGTGATGGCAAACCTATGACACGCGTGTCAGAGGTGACACGCAAACTCATTTTTTTTGGTTGATTTTTTCTTTGTTAAATGGCATTTAAATATATAAAATAAATATCAAAAATATGAGTCTTTGTTTTACTATGGTTGCAAATATCAAAAAATTTCTATATGTGACACGGCACCAGAGTTAAGTTAGGATTTTTCAAAATGCTGATACACTGAGCTCAAAAGGTTCGCCATCACTGTCCTAGGGAAAGATAGCAGTTTTGGATTCATTATAAAATGTTCTGTTTTCCCTTTTAAAATCATTCAACCAAATAACAGGAAAATGAATTAAGACAATAATGTAAAATTTATAGGGAGATCTGCATTTGATATTTTGGGGAATTAGAATTTGATTTATTAATATGCAAATGATTTTGAAAATGTTTACAGTTGCTTAATTCATATTTTATTCACACAAATGGAAAGTATGGAAAATGAATTTTAATAAAATATAATCAACATAGTATCCCCAAAAGTTTGCCTGTTGGCTTTAATGTATTGATAAGGGAGAAAACAAAAGAAGGAAAGCTAGATAATTTGAGAGATTTTCTTCTTTTTTGGTAATAATGATTTCATATAATTTAGAGTATTCTGAATAAGAAAAATCTACTTTTCAGTAATTATTTCATGAACATATTCAACTAATTGCAATGTACTATATTAAGCATCTTCTTCATGAAAGTCCTCAAACCTAATGAAAAGTGAAGCCTGTGTCAAATTACCAGTGCCTTGGATTTAAACTGAAATCACTTGAGTGTAAGGTGCAGTTGCTTTCATGTCTTGGAACGAGTCATTTCTATATTTCTTTTTGTTGTGTATACTTAGTAAGGATAAAAAAGATAAAACAAGGTTAAGAAATTGAAAGCCAATTTTCTGGGATGGCAGGGAAAAGGTACACAGAGAACTTTTAACTGTTGTCTTGGAAAAGGACTTTGAAATTATGGATGAGAATGATCTATAAATTTGAGCACTATTGATTAAAAGACTGAATTATTCTCCTTGTATCAGCTCATGTAAATTCCATATGAAAGTGAGCATATACAAAATAATTTTGACAAACCCAATTTTTAGACAAACACTATTTTGGTACCTCTTTAAAAGCTCAAGACTAATCTTAGAAAGTTGCTCTTAAAATTATATTTTAATGGTTATTATTTTATTATCAAATAAAGTATAAATAATATTTTATCATAGTTTAATATCATTATTAACAATAAAACTACTTTTAAATGTATTAAAATCTGATAGCATGATTTTTTGTTTTTCTAAAATTCTAAATTATTACCCATATTAAAAATTAAAAAATTGGAGGCGAATGCAGCACTATCGAGGGTATTCTTTTAATGCTATAGTTGGTATTTTTAGATAGAAAAATTGTCATGCTATGTAAAATTGGATATCCAGTAAAGGGGCTTTTTTGGTAGGTATAGGAAATATTGCTGGCATTACTATTAAGATTATTTTGTTATACAGATAAAATATGAAAAGAATGAAAATATATTTATATTTTATTTACATAGTTTTTCAACTTACGGCAGATGTCATTTCCATAATACAAGGAGCTCAGTATCAACATCTTAAGTTTGTTCATGCCTGTTGCCTGTTTTTCATAAAGCCATTTATTATTTTAAAAAATGTTATTGTTAACATTCTAAGTTTGAAGGCATGTTAAACTCACAAGTGATCAGGAGTTATATTGAATATAAAAATATTTTTATTTATATTTATCAGTAGTTTCTTTATAAAATATGTGCTTACAAAAATCAAAGCTAATACATTGAATCTACAAACTGCTTTACATTCCTACTAGATTTAATTTGGAAGTCAACTGGAAGCAGAATAAGCTGAGGTCTGGTATATTTGGCTCCCCTCAAGGGGAGATTTCTTGGTCGGTCATCCAAAGCTTCACTGTCTCTTCCCACCTAATTTTACATTCCCATCTGTTCTCATTTTGGGGTGAGGGAACGTTTTCCTTCTTACATTTGACCCACACACAAAACTTGGAGATGTGCTTCTTTTAGGGAGTTATGCATTCCCATTGTGCACCCTGATCTGTGGAAAAGTGCAAAGACAAGAGTTTAGGCAATTCACTGACCTCGGTGTATAGTTTGAGCAAATATTTCATTGTTTCAGAAAAGTATCTGAATTAATTTTATGTGGTGTTTGTATTCCTCAGCTTTATGTAACCACGGCTGTAAAAAATAAAAATCTTTATTGTGCTAAAAAAGTGTTAATGTCATCTATTTTATTATTCCTCCAAATGAATTTATATGTTCTAGAATGCAATATTCAAAATAGGCATTATTTATTTAAATGTTGAGACCAAGTTATTTGTGATATTTTAACAGGTTTAAGCTTTAAATAGTATACTCTCTTTAAGCCTTATAGAATCCAACCTTTATTTTTAATTTCTAACACATTCTCATAATGAAATAAATTTTGACTCTGATAGGCTATGATAATAAAAAACTGTTTTTTCTGGATTCAATGCTTAATAAGAATGCCAAAAATTTTAGGGATTGGGATTGGCTTAAATGTTTCCTTCTTTCTTTTTTTTAAACACATGGAAGCAATAAGTCTGTAATAAAGAGTCCATTTGGAGAGGATGGTAAGT